CAAGCAAGCAAGCAAGCAAGCAAGCAAGCAAGCAAGCAAGCAAGCAAACGAGCCAATTGCAAGCAAAAGGGGGAAGGCGGGAAGGAAATGACTGGAAAGGATGGGAAGGGAAGGGAATCTGTAAAATAGCCGAGCCCAAGCTTTGTTGAAGAGCAATCCTGAAATTCGATGAAGCAATCCCCAGCGGCGTCTCCACCCGGCCGTATGAAAACCGAAGCCTGTTCATCTCCAAAGCCGACAGAGGAGCACTGTTGAGATGGTGCTTCTGCATGACCTGGCCTGTGTCAGTCATGCCCTTGTTATTAGTAGCCATGCACTTGCTACTAGTAGCTTCTTGTTACTGCTACCCAATCATACCCAATTCATTTTGGTTCCGAGCATAGACCAAGTTCGGTTGGCGTTTGTGCGACACGGCCTCGATGTTGGGAGGGAGGTCATGCATACCACCCAACGTTGGGAACCTTCAAACCATGTTGGGAGGTCCAAAGTCCATGGTGTGTAGACGGCCGTATGGTTTTGTCATCGTTCTTAGATCTTGGAGATGTAAGCCTTTAGCCTGACTGGGTTTCTGATGTTTTCTGAATTTGTTTCATTGAGGCCTCACTGGGGAGAGTGTAAAATGAGAGTTTCACTACAATGAGAAGTACATTTTGCTTCTTTTTGGCAACCCCAAAACTACTTTGTTTTTAAAGAACTAGACTCACTAGATGGATATGAACCCCACCAAGGACAAGACGAAGGACAAGGAAGGGAACAAAAACGGAAAAGCAAGGCAACAAAAAGTAACGAGAAAGCTGCGAGCCATGACACTGCAGACGTTGTGTTCGAGTCTCCGGTATCAAGTTGACATGAACTGTCGTTTCATCCCCACCCCCCCACCCCCCGAGAAAGTGCGTAACCACGAATCAGTGCATCAAAACTGCATAGAAACCACTTAAACACCCATGAATGTGCACCAAATGCATTAAAAAAGAACGAACGCTCTCCCCAGTGGCCAACTACATGAGGTGGTGGTATATACTGAATCAACAAAATTCTGAGCGCTGGCAATGAGTTGATTCAGGCTTTGTTGCAGGTGCAGAGGTTGAAGCGCAACCTTTCAGGTGACCAACATGCCAACATGTAGGGCAAAATCGTGCGCGTCGTGCGCGTCGTGCGCGTGGGGCAGCTTCTTCAGTGTGGCGGGGTACCATGACCCAATGAGACTACTAGTAGCTAGACAGCTACTTTCGTACCCATGGCATCCCATAGACCAATTGGAGGATGTTCCAAACAGCGACGGAGTGCTTGGAGAATGCGCGTTTTGATGCAGCCAACGGCCACGGGCCACGGCCGCAGATCCTCCGCGCTTGGAGACCTCCAGCATGGCCCCGCTTTCAGCGGCTCGGGTGCCCGCTTTCAGCGGACGAGAACCAAACAGAACATAATTCTTTGAGGAACATAACAAAACCAACAAAAACCAATTGCAATTGGGTTTATTGCAATTGAGGTGGAGAACCAAAACCAACAAAATTCCCAAAACTCCACCTCAATTGCAATGCCAGTTGCTGTGGGTGAGGGATTTCAGCAGGCAGGTGACCTGGTAAAACATCACTCATGTGCAGACACAACCCATCGCAAACTTCCCAACAGAGAAACCTGTTCGAAATGTCTTACTGTTAAAGCTTTAGTTCATTTTTGGAACTGGGAGGTTTTGATTTGGAGCTCTGCTTGACTGAGGTCAAGCCCCCCCAGACGAAGGGCTCCCGGCCACCGGAGTTTTTTTCCATGGCCGAGCGGGATGATGACTCGCCACCCACTAGCCGCGGCCTTGGGTTTTGCTAAAGCTGGTTAGACTCTAACCAGAAACATTGGAGAGCCTACATTAGTTGTACATATTATTCATTTGTATATATCTATATATATGTATATTTGAGAAAGACAAAGACAACCCTCCCACCAACTAACATGGACACCTCTGACATTCGACCCTTGAAGAGCTTCCAAGATGGTTTTCGCCCAAAACCAACCGCCCCAAGACCGACATCAAGACGTCTGATGGAACCTCCTTGATATTCCTGTTTACTCCTTGCGAAGGCCCATCGAATTTCAACACCATCCCCTTGCGCATGTCGCAGGGGGAGGCTGGTCGGGCCAAGTAGGTGCTGAGTCGGTTGAGTCGGCCAAGTCGGTCATCTTTCGTAGCAGGTCATACCTCCTTTTCAGTCGAAAGAGCGACCATGAAGAGCCCCTCTCTCTCTCTCTCTTAGGTTGGAGTCCATCGCTACTAGGTTGGAGTCCATCGCTACTAGGTTGGAGGCCATCGCTACTAGGTTGGAGCCCATCGCTACTAGGTTGGAGGCCATCGCTACTAGGTTGGAGGCCATC